CACTCAGGAAAAATGTAAAGCAAAGATACTAGAGCAGCGCATAAGACCTATTATAGAGAGAAATCTGAGCAAAGCTCAGTTTGGATTCCGAAAGGGAAGAGGGTGCACGGATAACGTATTTGCATTACGACAGATATGCGAGGAAACAATAGAACACAACAAAGAATCCAACATCGTCTTTATAGACCAAGAGAAGGCTTTTGACAGAGTAAACCATGCAAAACTCTGGAAGACACTCGAAAAGTATGGCGTCAGAGGACAATTGTTAGATAATGTAAGAGCTCTATTATACCAACAGCAGAAGCTCAGTAAGAACGAAGGAAGGACAGACTGGTTCAAAGTGAGATCTGGAGTACGACAGGGATGCGTTCTATCTCCCCTCCTGTTTATAATATATTTTATGGACACAATAACGCAAGAAGCAAACCAAAGCCCAGAAAGCCTAAATGAATTTCTGTTCGGAGACGACCAATGTCTAATTCATCATGACCAACAAAGCCTCCAAAATCATTCTACCGAACTCAACAACACCTGTGAGAAATTCAACATGAAAATAAGAACATCAAAAACAGAAGTTATGAAAGTAAGACGAAGCCATAGTCCCCTGAACATCCATGTCAATAGTAAACAACTAAAACAGCTGAAGGAGTTTAAATATCTTGACAGCACTTTTTTTCTGAAAACGGGTCCATAGACAGAGAAATAGAAATGCGAACTCAAAAAGCCAACGCTGTCACCTACCAGCTCGCACCCCTTCTATCTCATCTAAACATCTCCATGGACACAAAGAGACAGCTTATCACCTCAATTTTCATACCAACATTATGTTATCAGTGCCAGACCTGGACCTTAAGCAAAACCCATGAAAGCAAAATCACCGCATGCGAAATGATGTCTCCGCATAACCCTTAACATCACAAGACGAGACAGGCAGAGAAATTAAGAAGTAAGAGCAGCTATCGGCACTGAGTCCTGCACATAGAAAGACAGAGGATAAAATGGTTTGGCCACCTGTTACGCATGTCACCTGACCAGCCAGCCTTGAGAGCCTACAACACCAAGCACTCAGGCTATAAAGGAAGAGGAAGGCCACGCAAAAGGTGGATCGAGGGTGTCAAGGAAACCCTAAGAAAACATAACGTCACAACTGAAAGAGCTGCGGAGCTGGCTTACCATAGAAAACTGCATCTCCCCTCCGACGCTTAACGGCAACAGAGGGTGAAAAAGTAAAGTAAAGTAAGTAGGCTACTATTACTATCATCATAATTCATCATCATCACCATCATTATAATTATAATACAAAAACCAGAGAAGGGGATTCAAGGCGAAAAATTTTCGGTCATAAAAAAACAGTCGAACCTGTGTGAGACGGAATCGCAAGGGAGCGGGGGGGAAATTCCGTCTTAGACCGGGGAATTTAAGGGGGGAGGTGGAGGTGGCGGGGGGATTCAAAGGCCCAGCAGGTGGGATCAAGGATCACTGGTCCGATCGGCAAGCAGTGATCAAAACTTCACACCTCTCAGCTGCTATCCTGTCTGATAATGACATGCGTCAGTCTAACGTATCCAATTACCACCAGTGCTTGCCTTTCATGGGACCACTATTTGAGCTTTAAAAACAGAAACGTTTGAACATCTCCTTTGCTTCCACCCTTAGTCCCACCCATCAATACCATCCCTCACTGCCCTCATTGTAACAACGATTCGAGGAACTCTTTTCTCTGCTGGCAGTACGATCAGGGTGGCAGGCACTGGTCAATCTGATTTCCCCTGGAAAGCGCTACTCGAGCACTCTCACGGGCAGTCATGAGATTTCACACCCACACTACACTGACCATCTGCATCGCTCAGGGCTCACATGATGGGATAACATCAAGGAGTTTAGAACTATCTCCTTGGATATCATCTAGGCGATCATAAAACCGTCTAGGGTAACATCAAGGAGCTTAGAACTACTGTTAAACTCCTTGGGTAACATCTACCCCAAAATTGCACCCCTACTCTCTTTCCTCGCCGAGCGAGGCCATGGCCATGCCACTAGAATTATAATACAAAAACCAGAGAAGGGGATTCAAGGCACGAAAAATATTCGGTCATAAAAAAACGGTCGAACCTGTGTGAGAAGTTTAGAGCCGGGGGAACCAAACTTGCGAGTTTTGTTTCAAATCAGGGCTGAGCGGGCAAAGCATTTTCCGTTCAACTTGTAGGTGAAACCCTCGGAAGGGAGCGGATTTTTCTTTCCGTTTCCGCGTTGGCGTTAGACAGGTTTCCGTTTTATATTGGTAACTAAATAGGAATAGAATATCATCAAGGGGGAGCGGGGAGATTCCGTTAAGACAGGTTTCCGTTTTACACAGGTTTCCGTTAAGGAAGGTTCGACTGTATGTAGTAGACCAAGACCACCATACTATTATGATGAGAATCAAAAGCGGTCTATATAGTAGTAGACCTAAACACTTACTATAATGGCCACCTGTATAAGACGATACGGCCTGCACCAT